CGCCAAAGCTGACCTTCCTCGGTTTTCAACCATGCTTGGACCTGCTCTCGGCGGTGAGCCTCCAGCCTCGAAGTGATGTTCTCGGAAAATTCTGGGGAAGTTTGGAAAGCCGCAACTGCCTGACGCCCCGCATCCGTGAACGATGCTTCCAATCAATCATACTTTGATTGTAGAAAGTCATATTTTGACTGGAGCTTGGACAGAGCAGCCACTGCTTCGTCCGCCCGACGCTGAACGGCAACGGAGTGATGGCGAGCCTCGTCAACCTGATGCGTGAGCTCCTCACGGCGGTGACCTATTGTTTGAAGTGCGATGGTTATGTCCACCAGCCCCGGCAGGAAACATGGAATTATTGAGGATTATAGTGACAATAATAATAAAAAGGAAGAGTGAAACGTCAAATCACGACCTACCGCGCCGTAAGATTTGATAGAGCGTGCCATATCCGAAATCGATGAAGCATTGGGGGTAGGAGCTGGATGGTTAACAGGGAGGGGCCCCACATTGTTTTCCCGCAATGAAGGGAATGACCTCGGTCCTCTAAGGCCGGAACTTGGCGTCCTCCTCTGCGGCCAGAGCGGCGAGCCTGCCCCGCATACCTGCAACCTCTGCAAGAAAATAAACAGAGTAAAATGGACTAGTACCGGTTGAACTGTTTCTCCGCTCCCAAATCAAAGAGGAGGATTCACGCCTTTCTTCTTCTTGCCAACTTGTTCCCCGTGATGTGGGGGAACCCCGCTCTTTACCGCGGCGTCTACCTCGGGCATGGTGGCGTCGGGCACGACCCTACTTGCATCGGGTACCACGGACTGGGGCATGACCCCCTGCCCGCTCTTCACTCTGGCGTCTACCTCGGGCATGGTGGCGTTGGACACGCCCCTACTTGCACCAGGTACCACGGACTGGGGGCAACACCCTGCACCGCAACTAGGCCTGCTTAACAAAAAAAGGAAAAAAATAAATAATAAAAATAAACAAGAGGGTGGTGAAGTTATTTCAGCCGGGTCTTTCTCCTCTTGAATTAAAAGGGAGTTCACACCTTGTCCGTCCATGGCAACCTGCTCTTCACGGAACGGGGAGGCCCTGCGCTTCTCCCCGGGATTGAGCGAACATAAATCTGCACCAGGTGCAGAAGGCGGAAGCATGGTCCCCGATGACACATGGGGGCGGCAGCTTCGTCTCTGTTGCCTGCCACATCTGAAAATATCAGCAAATTAAAGGATGATTTTATATGGAATCCGTGACCTGCTGGGACAGAAGATTTACTTATATACGAGTTAATCGGGAAAGGGCCCCCTTGGAGCAAGGTCTCGACCTTCTCTTCAAGGTCTGCTGTGACCGCTCGCTCCGTACTGGTGGAACGCAAACGTTCCCTCCAAGCGTTAGGGTCTTCGACGCTATCCGATTTGCCATTTGATTTGGATGAGCTATCCGACTGGGAGGCAACATCCACTACAGGGGTGATGCTGTTGGAGGATGGCCCGGGCTGGTCATGTGGCCCCCCCGGAGCAGGCCGGAGATGTCCTTTAACGATCATGATCCGCGTAGCGAGTCTGTCCAACCGCGATGAGGTGGTGACCTTTTCATGCGTCGAAAGGTTTTCGGAGGTCCCTTAATTTTTTCCTGATGCCGCGAATTCGGGTTGAGACGTTGCATTCACCTCGCTGGCTTGAGTTTGTGGAACCAGTTCTCCACGCACGAACTCTCTCCCCACCTCGCCACGACGGGCTCGTGCAACCAAGTTCCTAGACCGTAGCAGTGCGTCCACCTTGCCAAGGGGGGCTCGCGCAGATGATACCTGACCCGCCGAAGGTTGCTGGGACTGTTTGGCAGACAGACAACGTTCGCGGGTGGAGAGGGCGCCATGATGAGCTTCGTGTCGCGGACTGCATCGAGAACCCGTGCGTAGGCTGGGAACAAGAGGCGGTGATGACCGTGAATTGCTGGGTTTTCCCCGACCGCCTGGGCTATGACAACGCGACGGCGAACAACGTCGTGGATGACCCTCCCTCCGGCGCGACAGAGAAGGGGAGCCGCTGCGTTTCCTTCGCCGGCTTGGGATGGAATGTTGCGGCGATGCCGTGGCTGCGGCTGGAACGGCTGAAGCTGAGGGGACCTGCATGGCTGAAGGGCGCGTGGATGATCGACAGTGTTAGGGCTAGGCCACGCTCGGATTTAAGGGAATTAAAAGATTATGGAAAGAAAAAAAAAGGAATGAAATTATTAATTGGAATAACTTCGGGTTATTTTAGGAAGCTGGCCTGGGGTTTCTTTGACAAAATACGAACACTTGGACGGGATTCCAACCCTGGACGTGCGAGCTGATCAGGCTAAAGCCCAAGTATATTTGTCGCACGGTCAATATACAGCAACAGAAAAAACAAGGCTCACATTTGGGAATTTCAGGCCCGAATTATTGAAGCTGATGGAGAACATTGTGTTAGGGAGCAGTAGGGAGCAAAGCAAAGGGGCCGATCAAGGCCCGCGAAAATTGGCCCCCTTACGGGCCAACTATTACATTAACGAGCAGCCCGGGCTGCTACAGCAGAGGTGCGACTAGCCAGCCAATCCGATAGCCGGACCGACCTTTGAGCAACTCGACTACTCCCTTCTAGCCGAGTCTGCTACTCGACTAAGGGAGTGGGGGACTCGTGTTGGGATAATGGGCTGGGTCCAATACTATCGACCCAATATGCCTGGGCTCGGGCGCGAACCAGGCCCAGCACATGGTCCGGATAGAGAATATGGTCCTTGGATTGATTTGTTTAACTCTTGGGCCAACCGGCCCATTGGCCTTGGATCAAGTGTAACACCCCGGCCCCACAAGACCCGAGGTAGTTACTCCAGACCTCTAGTACTGTCCCCACAAACCACCACGAGCCTTTACCGCGCACTTTGTCCTCACTCATGCGCGCCCTGAGAAACTTCCCAGGGGGTCACCCATCCCAAGACTACTCCCGTGCAAGCACGCTTAACTTTGGAGTTCTTGGGTGATGAGCTCCCTTAACAGGAGATGCACCTCTGTTGGTATGAGTAGTACTATTAATCCTCTTAAATTAATCTCGGGTATTACATCAAGCTTCTTGTTTTAGTTGTTTAATTGGGCCAAGCCCATTAGCATTAGAAAAACCTCTTGTAAGCGCCTATAAATAGGCCGCCCCTCCTTTTGTATGAGGCACGTCACTTTTACTATACTGAATTGCTGCCGAATTTTCTACTCAGCATATTTTCTACCAACACCTATTATGAATGTAATTTTCACCTGAATTCATGAAATTTGAACCAAAATATTCAAAACGTGCCTTGTTTTTCTATTTTCTATACAAAAATCGCTTAATTTTGATAAGAAAAATAAGTACAAAAATGGACTTATCAATCTCCTCACACTTAAGCGTTGCTTGTCCTCAAGCGACGAATTGGTTGGAAACACGCTCACAAAAGGTAAAACCTGACTGAATCACAATCGAATTGCTATTAAAGAAATAGAAACAAAAATCTCCTTTTTATTCTCAACTTTTAAACATTTTAGAAAAATCACCCAAAATACAAGAATTTAAAATTATTATTACTTTATAAAACCTATTGATTATGTTAAACCACCAATCAATTTCTTAACCAAAGGTTTTCATTATTCTTATTTGGACATTTATCTTATTCACATTTTTTCCCCTCTTTTCCACTCTTGTTGGCGTTGTTATCCCATGGTAGATGCATATTTCATTCTCACAGACTATGATTAACGAATGAAACAGAGCCCCTTTTCAGAGATAGAATTGTCCTATAACAATGAGTTTTGAAGAGATTTAATTATAATAGTATTTTTGTTTTAATGATCAAAATGAATGTCCAATTAAAACAAAGTTAGCCCTTTACATTCGCAACCAAAACCCATAACAATTTCAAGTTTTCAAAAAGTAATAATAAAAGTAAATTCTTATAATAAGGGTGATTCTCTAAGCTATTATGTGATTGATAACAATTGAGAAGTTTAATGTTTCATATCAAAAAATAGTAAAAAGATTGTTCTAAAACAAGGTTTTAACTTTTCAGTGTAAAACGCAACCTCCTCACACTTGAGCTGGACCTCGCCCTCAAGGTCTCTTTTTAATGCACAAAGTTTGGAAATAAAGGCACATTTTTTGTTCTTTCCTCACACTTGAGTTTTGAAAAGATTTTGTGAAGAGGAATGATGAAAACAGGAATAAAATTGTTTTAAAAATCCTTACAGCATCCATAGTCAGTTTGTATAAGCAATCAAGTCAAAAGAGCAGCGTAATATCCAACCTGAATAAACAAACAAACAATGTAAAATGTTAAGGAGGAAGCAAAAACAAATCAGATTCAGTATCATCTCGTGGGCCATAGCGAGGCCTAAGCCAATCCTTTATCTCATCGATATCCATCTGTTGAGCCTCTATCTGTTGCCGCATTTGCCTGACGGTGACCTCCCGTGCCAGTCGATAATTCCGGAACTCAGCGAGGGTTGTAGTCTGTGTCTCTTGCATCTCCCTGATGGCGCCCTCCTGTGCTGATCGAAAGTCTCAGAACTCCGTCACGTGTGCGTCCTGAAACTCTGAGAATGAGGTCTGAAGACTCCTCATCCCGTCCATCATCGCTCTCCAATCGGGTGCACTGGGCATGTCGTATGATGGAGTACTAGATCCCCTATGTGGTGGTGCCCGGGAAGAGTTGCTCTGCTCAGCTGCCTGCTAAATGCCTGGGAGCTCCTGAGTATTCCGTTTCATCTTGATCCTCATGTTCGCAAAGGATGAGGACCGAAGAACGCGGATGCTATCCGGCAGTGGTAGTAATCCGGGAATGTCTAGGTCAGGGTAGAATGACCGAGCAAGAATCGTGACGAAACGCCCTGTCTGAATAGTGCGGCGGACACTCTTCCTTTGGCTCCGGAAGAAGCGAGCCATAAGGACTGCCATGTTTACCGGGCTGTGGTGAATCAAACTCTAAAAGAAGAAAATGTCCTTTTTGGACAACCTGTTCGTGTTGTAAGGTCGTCCAAAAAAACCACAAGATAGCACGAATGAGAGTGTATACCAGTGTGTCTGCCTCCATCGGGCCGCCAAGGGGTACGCACGAAGAAGACCCCGGTGTCTGTAGAGTGTGTGTGCCAGAACTCATCAATGTCAAATCCCTTTGGTAGATGGGTCGGGAGAGCGCGGAACTCGTCAGTCTGTGTATAAGCCGGGGCATAGAGCCCCATCCTCCATCCGAGCTCAGCCACAGTGATGGAGTGCTCGATGCCCAGAATAGTGAATCTCATCCGTGTCTCCGACCCAATGGCACCTGCTATCTGAATGGTCTGGCCATAATGAGTGAAGTGCAGTGAGCACAGGAACTTAATCGTCAGTGGGAAACTGGCCCTCTCCTCTATAGATAGAATGCTCCACCACAACGAATCTCCTAGCAGCGTATCAATGTCGCTCCAGTATCCCCACGTCTCGAGCATCCCCTGGTCCAGGATCATGGGGGGTAGGAGACTGCGGAAACGCCCCCATGTCTGGAAGCGTTTGCGGTCAGCATCAATGGCAAATGGGATTTCTGGCACAAGCAGTGGGTCTTGCCTATCTAGCGATGGCTCCTGAAAAATGGGATCATCACTTCTTCCTCCAGACATCTGCAAAAAAAAGTAAAATCTTTTTTAGGTTAGTTTTTTTTTAATGGGTTGCCTCCCAATGAGCGCTTCTTTAACGTCACTAGCTTGACAAATTTCCTCCTTTGATTCAAAATTTCTGGAGATAGAGAATCTCCTTGCTTTTTTCAACCAGGCCACCGTGGTAAAGTTTGAGTTGGTGGCCATTGACTTTAAAGGGACCCCGTTTGCATCTTCGATCTCGATGGTTCCATAGGGGTAAGTTTTCACGACCGTGAATGGTCCGGACCATCTTGATTTGAGTTTTCCCGAAAAAAGTTTTAACCGGGAGTTGAACAGTAGCACTTTATCCCCAACATTGAAATCACGGGCCTTGATGTGTTGATCATGATAGAGTTTGGCCCGTTCTTTGTAAAGTTTGGAGTTGGGAAAAGCTTGCACTCTCCACTCTTCCAGTTCTATCAGCTGGTAAAATCGTTCTTTCCCTGCAGCGTCAAGTTTAAAACAAACATTCTTCATCGCCCAAAGTGCTTTATATTCGAGTTCAACGGGTAAGTGGCAAGACTTCCCGTGTACAAGGCGAGAAGTGTGGTTCCGATAGGGGTTTTGTATGCAGTCTGAAATGCCCAAAGTGCGTCGTCAAGTTTAGTCGACCAGTCTTTCCTGGTCTGGGCAACAGTTTTCTCTAAAATGGACTTCAATTCCCTCTTAGCGTTCTCAACCCGCCCCTGAGTCTGGGGTGGTACGCTACTCCGCTCCGATGCTGGACTCCATATTTGGCCAAAATTCTGGCCATTGGATCATTATGGAAATGAGTCCCTCTGTCACTCATGAAAACCCTAGGCACACCAAATCCAGTAAACAACTTTTTCAGAAAATTCATGACTACTCGAGAGTCGTTGGTGACGCAGGCCTAGGCTTGAACCCACTTAGAAACATAATCAATGGCAACAAGAATGTATTTCTTCCCTCTTGAGGTGGGGAAAGGTCCAACAAAATCGATGCCCCAAACATCAAATACCTCACAAGGTAAGATAAAGTGTTGGGGCATCTCATTGCGCCCAAAAATATTCCCAATTCGCTGACAGTTATCACAAGAGGAAACAAATACATTAGCATCTTTAAAAATCGTGGGCCAGAATTACCCACAATCCAGAACCCGTCTAGCAGTTCTATTCCCTGAAAAGTGGCCCCCAGTAGGGCCGCTGTGACAATGCTTGAGTATGTCTCTTCCCTCAGCTTCAGTAACTCATCTTGTCACCACCTGGTCAACACAAATTCGGAATAGATATGGATCATCCCAAAAATTGTGTCTTGCTTCTGACAGGAACCGCCTCTTCATGTGCCTTGTTAGGTCGGTAGGCTCAACATTACCAACAAGGTAGTTAGCAATGTCTGCATACCATGGTGTTTGTTCATTGGTGGATATTGCCATCAACCTCTCTGCAGGAAAAAGTTCCTCCACTTCGCTTTTTCCAAAAGTTTCTGCTAATTCGACATCTAACCTCGAAAGGTGATCAACTGCCTGATTAGCAGACCCTTTTCGGTCCCTGATTTCAATATCAAATTCCTGCAACAAAAGAACCCAGCGTAACAGTCTAGGCTTAGCATCATGATTTTGGAGGAGATATCTAATGGCCGAATGATCGATATAGATAATAACCTTCAAAGAATGATGTAAGTCTGAAACTTCTCTAAAACACAAACAATAGCAAGGAATTCTTTTTCAGTGGTGGTGTAATTCAGTTGTGGCCCTGACAGAGTTTTGCTAGCGTAGTAGATTGGGTGGAAGTTCTTGTCCTTCCTTTGGCCGAGAATGGCCCCCACTACTAAGTCACTAGCGTCACACATGAGTTAAAAAGGTAAACTCCAATCCGGGGCCACAAGTACTGGATCATTGATCAGTTGTGTTTTAAGTGTTTGGAAAGCTTGGTGACATTCATCAGAGAATATAAAAAACGCATCTTTTTCAAGTAACCGGGTAAGAGGTTTTGTGATTTTAGAGAAATCCATTATAAAATGACGATAAAAGCATGCATGTCCCAAGAAACTACGGATGGGTTTTACTGTGGTTGGTGGAGGAAGTTTCTCTATCGTTTCAATTTTTGCACGGTCAACCTCGACCCCGTTACTTGACACTTTATGTCCAAGTACTATACCCTCTTTCACAAGGAAGTGACATTTCTCTCAACTTATGGCTAAGTGGGTTTCCTTGCAGCGGATAAGTACTTTTTCCAGGTTTTCAAGGCATTTTTCAAAGGATTCCCCGAAAATAGAGAAATTATCCATGAATACCTCCATGAAGTGGCCAATGTATTTTTCAAATATGGCAATCATGCACCTCATGAAGGTGGCAGGGGCATTACAGAGACCAAAAGACATCCTACGATAAGCAAAGGTCCCAAAAGGGCATGTGAACGTAGTTTTGTCTTGCTCTTCCGGGTTGACATGGATTTGGAAGTATCCACTCATGCCATCCAGGAAACAATAATGACTATGGCCTGCCAACCTCTCTATTAAATGATCGATGAAGGTGAGGGGAAAATGGTTCTTCCGGGTGGCTTCATTCAGTTTGCGGTAATCAATTACCATTCGCCACCCGGTAACAGTTCGATTGGGCAGAAGTTCGCCCTTTTCATTTTGCGTGACAGTCATCCCCCCTTTTTGGGGACAACATGAATCGGGCTTACCCATTGGCTATCAGAGATGGGGTAAACGATGCCCGCATCCAGCAGTTTGACAATTTCAGCACACACTACTTCCATCATGTTTGGGTTCAAACGTCGTTGTGGTTGGACGACGGGTTTAAACCCTTCCTCAATCATGATGGTGTGGGTTCAAAAGGTGGGACTTATTCCATTGATGTCCTCAAGTTTCCAATCAATTGCTTGCTTGTGTGTCTTAAGGACTCCAAGTAACTTATCCCTTTGTTCCTCACTTAAGTGTGCGACGATGACGACAGAGCACTTGCCTTCGTCATCCAAAAATGTATATTCTAAATACTCAGGGAGTTTCTTTAGTTAGAGGGGGTGGTCATTTTTTAAGTTTTGTTCATTTTTCTCCCCCTCGAACTCAGACAATACTTCGTGAGAAGCTTGCTCAATTAGTGCATCCTCACAACTCTCACATGCATCTCTCATGTCACAGTTGGCTTCTTTTAACAGACATGCTTCATCACTTACATGTCCATTCACTTCCCCAAACAGATACCCTTCAATTGATTCGAAAGTATCAAGAAAATGACATCCTTGAAAGGAATCTGTGGGGTGTTTCATAACATCTGAGAGTCGGAAGTTGCATAAATCATCTCCAACTATTAGAGTTAGCGAGCCATCAGTGACATCAATCAAGGCCTTGACGGTAGCCAGAAAGGGCCTTCCCAGAATAAGAGGTGTTTCCCTATCCTCTTCCATGTCCATTACTACAAAGTTGACTGGGAAAATAAATTTGTCGACCTTGAACAAGATGTCTTCAACAATTTCTTTCGGATATTTGACGGAACGATTAGCCAGTTGAAGACACATCCTGGTGGGTTTCATTTCCCCAAGTCCTAGCTTCTCGACTATAGAGGAAGGCATCAGGTTGATACTCGCCCCTAAGTCAGCTAAATCATTATTGAAGTTGAAATTGTCAATAGAGCAAGGGATAGTGAAGCTACCTGGATCCTTTAACTTTTCAGGTATTGACCTTAGAACCACCGCTGAGCATTCTGCATTTAGGTCCACGACTGAGAGCTCCTGCAGCTGCCTCTTGTTTGTCAGCAAATCCTTGAAGAACTTGGCATATTTGGGCATCTCCGCCAAGGCATCCATCAGTGGCAGGTTGACGTGGAGTTGTTTGAGTAGGTCCAGGAATTTGTTGCATATCCTGCTATCGTCATCATTTCTAACCCGTGAAGGAAACGGGAGAGAAGGTTTGACAATAATGACCTTTGTGTTACGGCGTGTTGGTTTTATGCTCTTCTCAGTTGGAGCATCAGTATGTTTCTCAGGTGTCATGGTTGGTGTCTCCTCTTCTTCATTGTTCTTCTGCTTGACCTCGGTTGTTTGTCTCCCACTTCAGAGAGTGATAGCTTGCACATGTTCACGGGGATTTGGTTCTGTAGTGCTAGGCAAGTTGTCAGGCTGATGACCGGGAACATTATTCTGAGTAATTTGCATGATCAAAGATTTGATCTGATTGTCAGTGCTAGCCTTGTATTTTGTCATCTCCTCCCGTGTCCTTGCTAGTTCAGCTACCAGCAAGCCTATCTCCGAAGTTTGGGCCGCCTCTGTTTGTCATATATGTGGAGGCACATAAACTTGATTGTTCTGGTTTGATTGGTTTAGTGCCCCTCCCTGATTCCGCCCTTGGAAGTTGTGCCCTTGATTGTTGTTGTTGGGGTAGTTCTTGTTACCTTGGTAACTGCCGCGAGGAGGACCATTGTTGTAATCCCCCCACCATTGGTTACCTTGGTAATTCCTCCCTTGGTAATTTTGAGGAGGGTAATTTGTGTTACCCCCATGTTGCCTTGATTTGCCCATGGCCCTTCTTGTTTTGTTCGGCCATATTCCAGCATGTTTACCTCCCTATTGTTACTTAGATTACAATCATCAACTAATTGACATGAATTGGTCAAATGTGGACCAAAACATATCTCACATGTGAGTACAAGTTCAGTTGAATTAGAAACAGGTGAATAAGCATTAAATTGTGATGACTGTGGGGCAGAGTTTGAGTTCCCAAAGTATCGGGATAGTTGTTGATTCGGGGCAGCGCCAATGTGGTTGACCTGGTTGGTGTGATTGTTATCGCCCTTTAGATTTTTCACTTCCACCACCAACCCTTCAATCTTCGCGGTTAAGGCCGTGAGTTGGTCAACTTCAAGATAGCCTGGTATTGTGGCCGCTGGAGTTCTTTCATCGTACCAGCATCTTGCATAGGAGGTGACCTTCTCCACCAGAGCTTCATTGGCGTCGGGCGCCATATCAAGGAATGATCCCACCTGAGAAGAGAAATCAAGCTCTTTTTTGCTTCCAACTTGA